TGGAGGAGGATGAAGACGCTCCCCGCGGGACATGCAGTCCGTGTCTCTGCTGGCAGGAGCGTGGTGCGGCCACAACATCCACTCGTTCTACTTTCTACGTGTAGAACGGGATGTGAACCGGGGCTTGAGCATCTTAAACACACTGAATCACACCAGATGTTTGAAAGTCCGCCTGTCGACTCGAAGCAGTCAGCTGACTCGGTCTGAATGAAGCAGTGAAGCGGTTCACACGTCATCGGTGACGTCACATGAAGCGAGCTCCGGCCCACTGCTTCACCATAACTACCCTGTCGAGTTTGAAGCGTGCTTTGAAGCTTCGGTGTTAGAGGAACTTCACTAGCTGTACTCCTGCGTGCTCATCTGCTCACACAGACTCGTGTTTGTGCTGCTGTTTAGTTATATGATATTTAGTTGATGTTTTTCTTAGTTCATATCTTAGATGTTATCATTGTTCATCTTTTACATTTTATTGTTGGATGGAACTGGGACCCTGTGAACATAATCTCGTTCCACCACATGTACCACATGAGGTGCGAATGACAAGAACCTTGAATCTTGCATGTTATACTGGTTTCCTTGCTCCAACACTTGATTTAATGGTTAAATCGTCACTTCGTGTTCTACAAAAGCCCATTAAGCACCTATGAGTGATTCAAACCAGGTGTGTTGGAGAAGAAACATCTGGGGCTGAGGACCAGGATGAAGCACTGCTGCTGTGGCTGGTAGGTGGTTGTGCATGTGTGGATGCGCGTGCCCCGGTGCTGTGGGCCGGTACCTGGACGTGCAGCTCCTTGTCCAGCTGGCTGATGCCCTGCTGCAGCACGGCCAGCTGCTCACACATCAGCGCGTGATGGATCACCTGCGCCGTGAACGTCTTCGCGTCGAACCCTTCTGACAGGAAATCCGCATAACACTCTGGAACCATAAATTACATATCCCCTCGTGAACACTGCGCTAATTACTCTTCTTCTTCGCGTGTTATGGACTCAGTCAATTCAGCAGACAAACATCATATTACGGTTTGCACTGGTGCTTTAAACACAAAGCTTTAGCTGCTGATTTCGCACTAAACGATGAAAATAAAAAGAATGGAAATGACAGAAGTGTTCAAGGCTTTAAAACATTTACTTAATCGGTTAATGCAGGAACTACACGGGTTTTACCATCTTTTAACAGAGATTTCGTGGAATCCTCTTCGCTGGCCTTCATACTTCCGCATGCAACGTCATCAAGCTCCTCCTTCTTCTTCTTGATGAGCCTGTTGGCAAAAAACCTGCAGGTGTGCAGTACCGCCCCCACCTGGTATGGAGGGTGGGTCATCATGGTTTAATGTTTTTTATTTCATTTACCCTTTACAGGTAGTCTCATTTTCAAGAGAGACCTGTTTAGGGAGCAGATCACTGGTGGGATGTAACTAAGTACAAATACTTTGTTACTGTACTTAAGTACATTTTTCATGTATCTGTACTTTACTTAAGTAGAGTTAAACTTACTTAGTTAAACTGGGTACTTTATACTTTTACTCGACTACATTTTACATCAAGTATCTGTACTTTTTACTACACTACATTTCTATAATGCATTGATATCCTGATGCATGCTCAATAATCCAGGTAGAAAAATCCAAGAAAGTTCAATCTGGTCCTCTGGACATTCAAAAAAACAAAAAACAAAACAAAGCAAAAAAAAA